CCGCTCCCCGTGCCGCGGTGCTCGGGGGTCCTGTCCGCTTCCGGTCGCCTACCCTACGGGCAGGAGCGCAGGCGTCCCCGCTGGTTCCTTGGGGCTTTGCTCCTTGGCTGCCTTCCCCCTGTGCCCCGGCCGTTGGGCTCTGAGCGGTGGCCGTTACCCGCTCACTGCCGGGACCATCCGCGTTTAGTTGGTGCTTCTGCCCGTCGCTTCTTGGCCTTTGTACCTGCCCTTGCGTGATCTCCCAGCAGTTGTCCTCTGTGTGCACTTGCAGGTGTCGGGAAGTCTTCGCTTGTTCATCTTTTATGCCAAAACCAGGTTTTGGGAAACCCGTCCTGGACAGTGGGCTGCTCGGTGGATGTTCGAGTAGGTGACGTGCCCGACCTCTTGGTAGTCCTTGCTTAATGTGGAAGGGAAGAGCCTTAACTTTTTTTTTTTTCTTCTTTTCATTACTTTCTGCACCAGAAAGAAGTGCGTTTCAGTGTTTGTTTTGCTGAGAGATTAATCTTTTCAGGCAAATAGTGTTAAATATGAGCTGAGCACTTCTGTGAGCAAGGTTTGACCTTAGAGTTGTCAAAAGACAAGATACTCGTCATTTGTAGCGCCTCTCCTTACTGCAGTGGCCACTGGTGTGTTACAAGTCGTGGAGCGGCCAGTTTAAGTCAGAAGGCACACAAAAAACACTTCTCTGAGAAGCGCTTAATGCACAACTAAACTGTCAGCCAAACATGCTGGGGAAAAACAATTTGCCTGTTTAATTTGAGGGTATTGAGCGTGACCATAGGGTTGCTTCTTTTCCTCTCTGCTTATTGCAGGACCTGCTATTAGAGGGATGATATTCATACAGTATTTTTTTGGCCCAGCTCACAGTTTTCGTGGCGTGGTGATAAATGCTTTCTTCCTTTGCGGCTCTTTGCTGCGTTCTCCTTGAAATGTGTTGCCATAGGTTAGGAATGATCCTGTCTTACTGTCTATGAGTTTCATCTCAAAGAATGCTGAAATATATTTCCAAAATTTGGGGAAAGAAACATGGCAATCTGGTTGACTGTGGAGCAAAACTACCTAGCAGGTCCTGGGGAAAAAAATGTTGATTTGTTGAGTTGTCAATGAGAATTTGGAGAGGAAAAAGATGTGGTCGGTTGGAATCTGATGTGGTCACCAGTGCTACCATGTGGGTTTCAACAACTGTAAGAAGCCATGACCTTACTTTTTCATCTGCTGTAGCAACATGCTATTTCTAAGCACTCATGAAGCATTAGATTTGTTAATATTGAGGTGGAAAGGATAGTCCCTGCTGACTGACCAAGCTCCATCTCATATGAGCTGTGGTATCCAGTGGCCACTGCTTGACTCATTCCATCTCTGTTCTCTTTGAGAGATTTGAAATGGTATCAACATGAGAATTTACAGATTTATATCCAAGTACAATAATCCTTTCAGCTGAATGTGTAAGTGTTGAGTTGATTAAATCCTGTGAGCTGGTGCTGTGGTTATATATGATGTGAATTTTTCATCAGATCCATGACTACAAAGAAGGGACTCCAGAAGAGAAGACCTACTACATTGAGCTGTGGGATGTTGGAGGTTCAGTGGGTAGTGCCACTAGTGTGAAAAGCACACGAGCAGTATTTTATAACTTGCTGAATGGTAAGTTTGCTTGGTGTAAATCTGGTTCTATCACTGTTTCTGTCATGAGCTGTCTCTTGATTCTGAGGCAGGATTCCTTTAAGTCTGAATGAGGGCTATATTATTCTCTTTTCTGATTCCAGTACATTTATACAGGAAAGAAACTGATACCATTCATAGGCAGAATTTTATGGATTCAGTTTTGAACTGGAAAGCTGTTTTAGGCAAACCTGCGCAGATGAGCTTCATCAGCCTTTCACTTCAGTCTTACGCAGCTGGCACAGCAGGGAGTCTTTGTAGTTGCAGTGGGGTCCCTTCCAGCTACACTTGCAGACATAAAGGTTGCCTTCACCTTCCCAGGCTTCATATACATGCAGAAATATGATTTGTATTTTCTTTTATGTTTGGTTCCAAAACCTACAGCAGGGAAATAATTATTTGAATTTATATGAACATTCACAGTTAAATCCTACCCTGCCAAATTTGAACTGTTCTCCCATAAAATTGCAATATGCTGATAACCATCTTGCCTCCGTTCATTTAATTTGCCAAATGATTTTTAATAATTGAATCTTGCAACTTGCTGTAGATAGAAAGTAGTATTTTATGCCTTCTGTTGAGATCCTGACTTAAGGCCTAGTAGTTCATCTGTACCACTAATAAGAGCAAATAAGAGATTATAAACTTAATAATGCAGTATTTCAATTGTTTTGACATCTAAGGATAGTTCACTAAGAATAGATGTATACCAGATTAACAAAAATCTGTCTCAAATGTTCTGTTTTATTCTAATTTCTTGTTCCAAATCATTTGAGGGCCTTTCAATAATGTGTTTAGCCATTCAATAAACATTTTTGCTCTGTGATTATTTAACTCGTTATTTCTTCCTCCATTCCCAGGAGGAAAACCATGTGTAGGTATCTCTTGCTTATGTTGTTAACCAGACCTCTGTAAATAAGGTTTGAGTTGAGTTGTGCCCTCAAAACAAGCCTCTTTGGTATATGAAAAAAATTTATTCCTTTTTGACACCAAATCCACAGTATGCCAGTGAGTGTGGGTCAGACTTGGAAATATCCTAGAACAGCCCATTAGAAGATGAAATCTTGAACTTACGTGTCTGAATTACAGTTGATGACGTTAATAAAAGAGTGTTATTTATCTCCACTGTCCAAAAGATATTATTAGGCACCTTGCATATGAAAACTGTTGACTTTGGTAGTTAGGTTTGGCTCTGGTTTCTTTCCTTAGATTAATTCCTTTATTAGAGCTTGCCTCTGTTTGACCTGTTGTAAGAAGAGAAGATGAATGCATTCCTTCTGCCTGACTGCTTGTGCTTTCTGGGCTTGCAGTGGTCTGAAAACCTGAGATCAAAAGACAGTTAATGTTTGATTGTGACAGCATGTGTGCAGGCTGTTGGCGAGACCTGGTTGTTGGCAAGGTTAGGTAGGGTTTGTGCTTTGACTGCACATCTTCTGCTTTGGTGTCCCCGCATCTGGTGCGTGGACTGCGATAGTCTAGGGTGGTGACTAGGCAGTAAGGTTGGGGCTTGTAGATCTTAATGGGGGAGAAACATTTCCTTCAGTAGTCATTGGTCCTGCCTGCCCTTTTTTGATGTTGACATAGTCTTTTCCTGCCTGTGCAACTAACTGTAGGTTTTTGATGAAGCAGATAAGGGAACTGACCAATCAAAAACATAACTGAGGAAGAGTGTCAGGCTTTCTCTCCTTACACTGGGGATGGACACACAGTTGAGTTGCCTTTTTAGGCTGTTACTGAGACAAATGCTTTGAAACAGGGCTATGGTTGTGATATGCTGGGAACTCTCATAGGAGAGTCTGTGCACAGTCATGTAGGGTAGTGGAAAATATTTGTGGAAATGTGTTTTTTTCGTTGTGTTTACAGTGGGTGACACCTTTGGGAGTTAAGGTGAAAGATTAAATTAATATGTTTTCTCCACCTGTGGGCTCTGAAGTGTGTTGAGAATGAATCCTGATGAAGATAAGGGGTATAATTCCACTTTGTCCTTGAATTAATGATGGTCTGAAGTCTAGAGGGAGTGGAAATATTCCACAGGTTGCAGAAGGTGTGAATAACTAGAATAAATTTGCTAGCAGGAGTTAGTAATTGAGTTAGGAACTGTGGTTATCAGAAGTGGGTGTCTGTTAATAGCATAGCTAGGAAGTTTGGCTGGCTGTTTTTCTATCTCAGAATTTACATTTTGAAGGATCATGGTAATGAAAAATGCTAGAAGCTTAATCTTAAATACACGGAATCTTATTAATTCATATTTCTACCAGCCATTTGGTGGATTGTGACAGTTTATCAGAGTCTGTTTCCCCTTTGGATACCTCCCCAAGTATGTAGCATTGGTTTTTGAAAATGCAGGAAAGCAATAGGGCTCTCTAAACTCTTTGCAACAAAGAAACAGCCTTTAGAGTTCTTAGATTGTGTGACAGAAAGATAGTTATGTTTATCAATTAGGTAAAACAAAGAAAGGCTAAATTCTCTGCTGCAGTAATACAGAATTTGAGTATCACTAGGACTAGACAGAGCAGAATCGGAGAATGCCTGCAAACCTCTTGCAGATTAAACCCTGACGTGGCTGTTCATTTCCTCCTTTCATGAGATTTTTCTCTTAGCTCTTATCCAATTTCTGATCAACAGCTTTAAAAAACCTGTTGCATCCTGATATTTTCAGCTTTACTCATTCACTGTAACTGAACCGGTTATATTTCCTTTTCTTCATTCTCAGATATCTGGAAACCTGCAGATGTCATTTTGGTAAGATAAGGAAAAAAAAAATCTATCATTAAATAGCATCTTGCTGCCTTCTATTTCACTTTAGGGATAATTTTAGTGCATGACTTAACCAACAAGAAATCATCCCAGAATTTGTATCGCTGGTCTTTGGAAGCACTCAACAGAGATGTTGCTCCAACAGGAGTTCTTGTGACAAATGGGTGAGTGAAAAACATACATGCTGGGTTAAGACACAATAATTCCAAGTTGTTGTGGAAGTCAGTATTCATCCCTAAGGCTACTTGAAGTTCACACAAAATTAGATGCGGCTAGATAAGAAAAAAGGAAAGAAAGAAAAGAAAGAAATGGGGGGTATCAAAGAAACTGGCTGTACTTTTTGGTTTTCATTGCCAATCAGGCCATTCTGCCAGTAAATTCCCAAACTGTATGGCCTAGACCTTGCATCCTTCATTTGTCTGAGGCCTTTGTGAGAGTGGGTCCAGTCCCTGATACACAAAGACTTGTGTGCCTCTACTGAGACATGCAAAACCCTTGTACAGAAAGTGTCATGGGATGGCATGTCTCTGTTCCAGAAGACTTTGTCTCAGTGCCCTAAGACTGAGGAAGTTTGCTTAATTATTTCTTGTTTTGCGCAGCAAGGGAATTATTTCAGGAGTGTGGCTTAAAAAGAGCTTAGAAAACTCTGCTTAAACAGCATGTTCGTGATCAGCTTTCCAACATCTTGTCAAGTGTTTCCTCCTGTATCTCTGCTCCTGTTATACATGTAGTCAAGGAGGTTTTAAGATAATTGATAAACCTCACACATGAGCATGGAAGTAATAATAAAGGGTAACTTTTTGTAGGAAGAGTATCAATTTTTTATCTGCCTGTGCTGGTACACAGGTATTTCTATAGAAACATGGAAG